TCAAAATCATTGAAACACATTTAAACCACAGACTCTTCAGTATAATGTGAATAAATGTCTTTTGACTGTTGTATGCTCTTGTAGCAAAATATGAAATCGAAATGAGCAGAACATCTTTCACTTGAAGTATAGGAACTTATCGTTAATGATACAAGCAACGACAACGGAACTCGGAAGAAATATTTGTAATGACTGTCTCAAGTTATCTGCGTGACTTCTGTACGTGGCGTTTGTGCACATTTATAATCTAATTTGTATACAATAATTCTAATCAGATTCAATTTCTATGTTGTAACAGATTACAGATAATCATATATATATGTATAATTTTAACAAATCACATTACTGCGTGAAAATAGTTTTAAACACTCTTAAAGAGATTGCACGATATTTTTGGTCAAAATGAAGAATGATGGTGGGGAAAACGGATTATCATTTTGAGTGCAAAGTTTCCTCCTCATCGTCGCTATAGTCATCGCTTAAATAATAATTACTTTGCGAACATTCGAAACGGCCAGTCTTTTTCGGTGGTGGACTGTAACATAAAGCACTTTATATTAATTATGTCGATACGACTTAATGCACAGCACACAATTACTATACTTCACATTTATTATCTATGTAAAGAACATTTTCAATTACCATATGATAACTTACATGCATGAAGACTACAAAGAAAAATGTGACACGTCATTTTCAATCATTTAAAATAATTTACGTCATATGTACATTTATGAAAACAAGTACGTAGTACGTGTATACAGTTACACGAATAAAACAAGTAGAATTATCATGCTTATCTTCGTAGTCTTCACGTACATAAAAGCAAGAAAACGAAATATACCTTTTACAAGCATTAGTCACATCGTGTATTATTGCTTAAAATTTATCTAATGTAGTTAACAGTGGAATTGTATACTAACATAACATGCTGCAAATGGGTGGAGTGAAGTATTGAAGGTTTTCATATAGAAGCAGTACAGAATGAAGTGGTGTTGCATGTTAGTCAATTGACTCGAATGCTGTGATGTACCTTGTCTGATCTTCATCGTTATTGCTGGTATTACTGCCATTTGGACTGCCATCTCTTTTTGGGCTTGCAGGAGGAGATAGCGCTTGCATCAAACGACCTTTACTTTCATTCCAAATTGTTGACTGTGGATACAGAAGCCATAGTTTATTCAAATTCAAAGGTTGTATACATATGATTAGTTATATATGCCCACGATACAAATCGATCTATACATAAAAAGAATTTACTATGAAAGTAGAGGACTTATTGAATTTTTTAATGACCGTGAAAGTATAGCGATTCAGGTTAAAAAGGAGCAGTTACATATTGATTAATAAAAATGTTATTTATTCTTTTTTAATGCATAGTTCGCAATGCGGTATTAGTATCAAGTACAAAATGAACATGAGAATAATTACTCCATAAATACTACCCACCAATCTGCCTTCCCTGCCAAATAATAGTAGAAAAGCATCGATGAAATCTCGAGATTTCTCTTCCCACTTGCTAATCATATCCATTCGTTTCTCACCTATATTCTCCATCACTCGTTTACCCTTATCTTTTAAATCATCAAACTTATTTTGTAAACGGAACTTCTTTTCCTACGGTTACATAGTACATAATAATATGCTTGTGTATGTGAGACATATTTATTTCATATAGAGAACAATGCGAACTTACGCTAAGAAAAGAAACGTTAAGTTCTTTGGCACTGTAGCCTCGCGCAAGATTTCTCCTTACGTAAATATCGTAATCTTTAACTATTCTCGCTACGATATCCGATGTTGACACTCCTTCAGTTCTCTGCGTAGCAACGAACATACCCTTAGCTTTCAAGGCTGCATAAACATCTGTACTATCATCTGTCATATAAGGTATATCATCATGAGCAACAAAGTCGATCTGAAGAATT